GGCTTGGTGTGTGTGCTCACATGACAGAGAGAGGAAGGGAAAGGAGACAGAGAGGGACTTCCCTCTTCAGTTCTCTAGAAAGAAACTCACACAGACCGATCATCTGGGCTGTGCCTGTGATCTCCATAGGAGAGAGTCCTCAAGATCATGAAATGCAGTGTATACCGTGGACACCGGGAGAAATCCCTAGGCCGCCAAGTGCGAGTGCCGCAGACAAACATGAAGTGACTTGATGGATGAAAACCTGGCAAAGGGCTCAGAAAGAGGAATTGTGCAAGACCACGTCAGTTTCATCCTGCACCCCAGCCCCTCACTGCCTGGGGGCACCTTCCTGTAGCCACTGCGGGTTGTGCAATGAGACGGGGCCGTCACGGGGCACAGCGAGGCTGAGTGTGGGTGTGAGGACCCACTGGGGTGACCAACATATAGACATGTGTAGACACACACTTGCACAATACTTCCCACGTCTTTTTTTTTTAAGTCTTCTTAAAGATTCCAATAAATTCTAAAACATAAATGCTAAAAAAAAAAAAAAATGAACAAAACTGTGAACAGAACAGAGATTCTGTGGAGTTCAGATGATCCATAAAGGCCAGGGAACAAAAAAAATAATAATACAGACTTGATCTTTGTGGTGTGTCTTAGAGTGTCCAAATCACCTGTACAGTTCCACTTCACCAGACTCAGTACAGTACTTGAAAAAGAAATTGTTCTCCTGGGAGTTCCTTGGAGGTCCAGTGGTTAGGATTCCCTATGGCTCCCATTGCAGGGGTCATAGGTTTGACCCCTGGTCAGGGAACTGAGTTCCTACAAGTCGCAAGGCATGGCCAAAGAAGGAAGGAATGAAGAAAGAAAGATAGAAAAGAAAGTGTTCTCCTCATTCTACTGATGAGAAAACTGAAACTCGAAGAGGTCCAGTGATGTATTTATTCAAAGTCCCAAAGTAGAAAGTGTCTTAAAGAGGATGGCAGGAAACCATCTTCTTCAGGCGTTTTGTGGGTGCAAAGAAAGATGGTTATTACAATGGGTGAAGATTTACTAGGAAAACTATTGGACAACCCTGCAGGTTGTTTTGCTTGAACTTTGCAAAGGTCGTCCTCATGGAAATCTCCTCAACCTACCATGTGGTTGCTTCTCATCTTTTCTGTTATAATTCTCTCATGAATCTTCCATGAAAGCTGGAATTTCTCTCATTCCTGACCATGGAGGAATGTTTTTTGTTAAGATTCTCAGTTGAGTCTGAAGACCACCACGAAGGTCCCCGGAGCAAGGAAGTCGTGACGAGTTCCTCCAGCTTTCAGGACTTTTGGAGAATGTCCATAACACCTGCCACTTGGGGGTCTCATGGGGCTCTTTCTTTGGAACACTCAGAGACCCTCAAAGTAGAAATCTTTCTGAGAATATTGTTAACTCTGAGACTGCTGATGAATGACCTCAGGCCTCTTCCTTTAGCGACTTAATCACCTGGGATAAAACCTTGTTGAGTGGGAGAAAGTGGCATCATCTTCCCAGCCCTGTCTGAACATACATACACACACCCTTGCAGAGTCACATTTTGTCTTTGCCTACCATGTATCAAAAGAGCAGAGAAAGCAGCATGCCTTATCAGTAGAAGAAGTGTAACAGTGCTTTCCTGGCGGCTCAGGGGTAAAGAATCCCCTGTCAATACAGCAGACAGGATTCAATCCCTGGGTTGGGAAAATCCTCTAGAGAAGGAAATGGCTACCCACTGCAGTATTCTTGGCTGGGAAATTCCATGTACAGAGGAGCCTGGCGGGCTACAGCCCATGGGATTGCAGAGTTGGACACAATCAGACACAATTTAGTGACTAAAAAACAACACAGTAAAAACAGATATCCAAAGGACTTGTGAACTCCGTGACATCACTTTCCCTCCTATCGGCATCTCCCTCTTACCAGTGAGTCTCAAAAGAAAATGACTCCATGCCCTCCAGACCACCTTGGATTCCCAAGGAAGACTAGCTCTCTCGGAGCCCTGGAGACACAGAGGAATGTCGCATGTTCAGCCCGTGGGTGGTGCCAGATGGGAAAGCACCCCTACCCCTTCCTTGAAGGGCCTTCTGCTCCCTATCCTTCTCTGATTCATCCTCCATCAAAGGAAAACCCAGTGCCCCAAGAAAGCACAAGGTTTTCGCATGCTCTCTTTGTGGTCTTCTTCAGTTAATCTGCTCTGCTTGAGCAGAAACACTTGAAAGAAGCCACCTCTGTTCAAGAAAAGCCAGATAAGGAAAAGGTGGAAGGTGGAGTCATCTCTTGAATGTTTTGTGGGAAGTGCACGCCTGGAAACATCTGTCCACTCCTCCCCATGGGGACTCAGCTCTTGGGGTACGAGGCACAGTGGGAAATGTGTGGTGTGGGCAGGAAGCCTAGAGCTCTGCTCCATCTCAGGGGAATTTTAAAGGTAAAAGTCACCTGGCAGGGCCAGGGATGCAGAAGGGAAAGTTTCATCCTTTGTAAACCTTGTGTTGTAAACAGACCTCAGGCAATTGGGCAGACTGCATAGTAGGAAAGTTTTCTTCCCAGTTGGAGGATCTCTTCCCCTGGCCCCCATTCCCCAGTCCTAGATTGGGTCTTATAAACACCATTTAGATCTCTGAACTGACTCCTCTGAGGACAGACTATGCGGTGATTTTTTTTTTTAAGATTTATTTTTTATTTTTGGCTGTGCTGGGTCTTCGTTGCTGCTCCCAGGCTTTCTCCAGTTGCAGCAGTCGTGGGCTACTCTTTGTTGCAGTGCACAGGCTTCTTATTGTGGTGTCTTCTCTTGTGGAGCATGGGCTCTAGGGTACATGGTCTTCTGTGGTTGCTGCGCATGGGTTTAGTTGCTCCGTAACATGTGGAATCTTCCCGGACCAGGGATGGAACCAATGTCCCCTGCATTGATAGGCAGATTCTTAACTAGTAGATTATCAGGGAAGCCTAATGCTGTGATTCTTGAACTCAATATTAAACAGAAACGGTGAGAAGGAATACTGCAGCTCTCTTTCCCATCAGATTTTACAAAAGTGGAGGATGTCTGGGCCACCTTATTTTTCAATCCTTTTTCCTCTTACTGATCATGTTCTGGCTCTCAGTGTTTTTAATATCTTCACTGGGAGATGGTCAAGAACATGTAAATACATGGCTGATTCATGTCAATGTATGACAAAACCCACTACAGTATTGTAAAGTAATTAGCCTCCAACTAATAAAAATAAATGAAAAAAAAAAAAAGGAGCAGAGAAGGTGGAAACTCACCCCATTTAGAGTTGCTAGTTTTCATTTACCCTAAGGACACATGCAGTTGGTAAGAAATAATTCATATAAATCAGGTCAATGTTTAAATGGGCATCTTAGGTAGCTTGACTCTGAAAAATGGCACATTACAATTAATGTTGTCCCATGACTAGGGAATGGCAGTTCCCCCCAGGACTGCAGAATGGACTGTGCAAAACCAAATCAATTAGAAAATTACCACCGTCCACCCTCCCCACGTTTGTCCCCTCCCCAAAGGTGTGGATGTTTTCCTTTAGCAGATGAGTCGAGTAATGAACTAAAAACCATGTGCACATGTTCCAAGGCTGTTCCTGATGGTTGGTTTTGAGTTGGCCTCTCCTGGGATGTTAACTATTAGCCACTGTTGACCATCGCCTGCAACCTCGGCGTAAATGTTTGACAGAGCACACACACCGATACACCGACAAGCACACACCAGTGACTTCAGGAAGTCGATTGGTGGGAATGGAAAAGCATATAGTGCGAGTAGAAATGATCCATTGTGGAAACCCTGCACAGTGTTTCTGTTAAATCATTTGTCCACTGTTAAATGATTTACATTCAGATGGGGCCTGGTAATCCCAGGACTGCAATTCCAGGCATTCCTCCACACTCCAGCACTGACAGTCTGAATCAATTACAGTGGCCGTAAAGCTCTTTCAGCTGGTTAAGTATAAAGAATTATTGTCCCCGATCCATCCACGTCTCTCTTAGCTCGCACTCCTAGGTAGTTTGGTAGCAAACATTATTATCCATCTTTGAAATTCCTAAACCTGAAGGAGCCTGCAGGATATCCTTCCCTCTAAAGATATAGGTGTGCTTTAGTGCATTGTTTTGAAATACAGGGGCAAGTCCTGGACCACACAAAAATCTTTAGAAAATCCATGGATCAGAATTAAAGAAAAGTAACTTGTTTTGGTTGTGCTGGGTCTTCATTGCTGCGCTCAGGCTTGCCCTAGTTGTAGCAAGCAGGGCTAGTCTAGCTGCGGTGGCTTCTGTCTTTGCGGAGCACCAGCTCTAGGGTGCAGGCTTCAGCAGTCGTGGCACACGGGCTTAGTTGCTCTGCAGCATGTGAGATCTTCCCAGACCAGGTATCGAACCTGTGTCCCCTGCATTGGCAGATGGATTCTTAACCACTAGACCACCATCAGGGAAGTCCTGAGAGAAACGTTTTTAAACTTTCTGCAGTGAGTGAAGAGCCCATATTTGCTCTGACATCATGGTAGTCAACAGCTACCTTGAAGTATTGAGTACATGAAGAAATGTGTCTCATACAACGGGGAAACTGTATTTTTAACTTTATGTAACTTTAAAGAGTCTTAATTCCATCATAACCTTTTCTCCAGCAAAGTCTTACTACTGGTTCTGAAGTAGAGTTTACAAAGAAAAATGCATGTGGTGATCAAGTAACCTTAATCCATCAATTCATCAGATTGACAGATTTGTAAAAAGTTGGAGACTGATCCATTCCTTAATTTCTCATGAAGACCTAAAGATAAAGCCCTGGAAGTGACTGTGTAGACACAGGACCACTGGAGCTCTTATTAGAGCTGTAGAAATGATGTCAGGGAGCATTTGGGTCCAAGTAATTCAGAAAAGATGTTCTATGGGTGTTTGAATTCTGGGTAACATCTCAGATAAGAAAGACCTCTCCTCTTTCGGGGGAGATCATAAAGAAATCATTGTTAAAGTACCAAACTTACCTTACTTGGTTTTCCTTTCAGGAGCTGATTGATGTTGACAGTGAAGTGGTGTTTGAATTGGCCTCATATATTTTACAGGTAAGTTGTTTCCCTTCATCTTTGTATTCCAGGGCCATACACAGAAGAAATAGGAATAAGACACCTCATGTATGGCAGTTGTTATAGCCACTAGCTCTTTACTCCTTATTTTTTAGCCACAAGCAGGAAAGAGCTATTAGGGAAACTATACCATAGCAATAAACAGTGTCTCCTCTATTCTCTGTTCTTGTCCAAAATTTTAAGACAGTATCTCTCTGCAAGGGAAAATTGTGTGTATAACCTGAGATTGGGAAACTGAGATCATCTGGTGACCCCCTCTTCTTCATGTCACTGGAGAAAGTCAAGTAAAAAAAACTAGAATTTAATTGCCAGGAGAAGCACTGTCATGAAAGATGAGGAAAATACCTTTAAGCTTGTGTGGAAAAAGAGGGATCGCTGAATATTAACCACAAGGGCAAGATCAGAAACACTGGCAGAATGAACTGAATTGATGTCATTAACTTTTTCCTTCAGCAAAGATTTATTGAGCAACTACTGTGCTCCAGGCATTATGCTAGATTCATTACAGACTCCATGGTCCCTCCCCCCCGAGAAGCCCCACAATACAAGACAAAACAGCTAGCACCATAAGACGTAGACACATAGTGCTACCCAGACACATGTCCGGGTTCAGAATCTTTACAGTGGAAAAAGTTAGATCAGGGCTTAGAAGTGGAAACTTTCCTTTTCATTATGAATTGCTTTCTTTGTATAGAACTTTCTAAAGTTTGTCTCCTATTCAGGTGGTAAATGCATGCATCCTTCCTTAATTATATTCTCGTAGCTGATAGGATAAAATAGCAGTCAGTTGGAATGATTCGATAGAGGAGTTCATGATTCTACAGTGCATTTAAAAATCTGTAACACAGATCAGAATGAGTCACTGATGTTGAATTTTCTTCTTCTACAGGAGGCAAAGGGAGATTTTTCTAGGTGAGTTTACCTAAGTTTTTTGGCTTAAAAATATATTCTATTGCATCTGTATGAAAAGAAACTATTGTGTTATTCTTCATAGGAGGGCAGTTTATTAATATTATGTATTAATGATGAAATCCAGTTCCCACCTTGCCAGTGGAAAAATTACATCAAGCAGAGAAGATGTAGTAATAGCAGCAGAATATTCTGTACCAAATGAAAGTTACTAGGGATTTCCCTAGTGGTCCAGTGGTCAAGACTACCGAGGGTGTGGGTTTGATCCCTAGTCGGGGAACTAAGATCCAGCATGCCACATGGTACGGCCAATAACTGAAAGAAAAAAAAAAGAAAGTTACTAAAGGGCTGCCATTAGACTTTTTTTTCCCCTCTTTTAGTTCCAACCCTGAAAAAAATGCCAGCCTCTAAAAAAAATCTTTCATGAAAGTGTTAAACATAAATACCCTGCTTCTATTCTCCTTCCTTTCCTGGATATTACATTAGGGAGAGAACAAAAACAGACTTAACCCTGGGGAAAACTGTGCCCTGCTTTAATAACTCTGTAGACCCACAAACTTCATTCTCAATCTTTCATTTCGTTAAGCACGGCCCATTGACTAGCAGGGCTGTATTGCCAGTCTTTCCTGATCTTTAGTGGAGTCAGATAGGGGGTGGTCACCATCCACCAACAGAGCTGTCTGCTCGAAAACAGATACCATTCCTGGCATTCTGTTTTACTAGACACCCCTGAGGGAAGTCTCCAGAACAGCCCATTCTTTAGAATTGAGGCCTAGAGACATAAAGATTAACCTCATGTGCAAGAAAACAGCATCAGGGCATATGATTCTGGCCCATTGAAAGGAAATTGACAAAGTGGTATGAAAAACACGGATCCCTACTTCTTCTCCAATAAAGAACTTGGATGCTTTCTCATGCTTTGGGGAATCTGATCTGTAAATGTAACCTAACCTACTTCACCTGATATCTACCTCTACTCGTCCAGCTTTATCAAGTTCATGCTGACTAGGTTTTCAGTTCTTAGCTGCCTTCTCTCTACTCCCCATGCATTTGAAGGCTTTCTAACAAAGGCAGAGGCATATGTTCTCATTCAGATATCTCAGCAAAAGCAAAAAAATTCTTTTACAATGTAAAACAAGGGTCAGTAAGCATTTTCTGTAAAGGGCCAGATAGTGCACACGTGAGTTTTGCAGGCCACCCAGTCTCTGTTGCAATTAATCACTTCTCCCTTTCTAAGTGCAGAGCAGCCAGAGATAGTAGGTAATCAGATGAGTATATTGGTATTCCAATAAAACTTTATTTATAAACTCAGAAATTTGAATGTCATATACATTTTCATATACCACAAAATAATCCTCTTTTGACCTTTTTCCCAATGTTTTAAGATATTTTTCTTAAGATTTTTTCCCCCCAACCATTCTTAGTTCACAGGCCACATAAAAACAAGCAGGGGGCTGGATCTGGCCAGTGGGTTGCAGTGGGCTGACCCCTGTTCCTAAAATATAGTCCCTTCAGTTCAATTTGATTATTTGTAGAAGGAGACCTCCAGGCCCCTTTTATTTAGGTTTCCCAAGTTCTTGCTATGAGACAGAGGTAGTCCATTTTTTTTGGATGAAGGTTTATTTATAGCCTTAGCAGGAGACCTTGGACATTGTAGGTGGTCGATAACCATTGACCAAATGGGTTTAGGGAAACATTTTCAGGATTTAGAAACTATGCTTTGTTCTGTTTTTCTTTGTCAGTTTTTTATGTCCTTCATTGCATCTGAGGCTCTTGATAAGTGCAGGTTCATATCTATTGAAAAAGGGCTCAGGGAGTCCCATGAAAAAAAGGTTTAATAACCACAGATCTAATGACCTCCATCATCTGGTCTACTCACTCTGAAGGTACTTTTACCCCCCTTTTCTTTCACCGGCTCTGAACTCTGCTGTAAATATTATTTATTTTTGAGAGTCCCCTGACAGGATGGAATGTGAGCCAGGAACAGCATCATCTGGCCCCACAGATCCTGGGAACATGGGGCCACAAAGGGTGGCCAGCAGTGAGGGGGGCAGGCCTGGCCTCCAGTAACTCATGGCCCCCTCATGAGCTTGTGGAATGCCAGCTTGTTGGCTGCAGAGAAACAAAGGACCCTGGTTTGACTTCATTTGTCAAAGTGTTCCATCGAAGTTTGTTTGTAGCAGCAGCTGTCTGGAGTGAGAAATAGCTGTCAAGGGAGGGGAGAGGTCAGACACCTTATCTAAAAGGTCACTTTATCTCCCAACATAAAACTCACATCACGGAAGATAGGATTCCCTGATAAACCCTGTTCTCCATAGGAGTCCACAGTTAGTATGCTTGAGTGGCCTGGAGCTTGGAACCAGAGAAGAAATTCAAAATTCCTTGTTGATATCTTCCATCCATATCTGGGGAAATCCCCATAACACTGAAGTGGACCCCATTTGATATGGTGGCTGAACATCAGGTGTTTTAGATGTCCCTTCTCAGAATTTAGTATTGGAGAATGTTGGTTTTTGCTCTATTAATAATGAATGCCAGATTCTACATTCTTAATTGTGTTTAACTGAATAGCTTTGACTTACATGCATGCTCAGTTAATCAGTTGTGTCTGACTCTTTGTGATTCCATGGACTGTAGCCTGCCAGGTTCCTCTGTACATGGGATATTACAGGAAAGAATACTGGAGTGGGTTGCCATTTTCTCCATGGGATCATCCCGATCCCGATCATCCCAGGGATTGAAACTATGTTTCTTGCATCTCCTGCATTGGCAGGTGGATTCTTTACCACTGAGCCACCTGGGAAGCCTTTGATTTATATACATACCCTGTAAATAAAATGCATTTTCCTGAGCAATATTTGTAACATAAGATGTCAGCTTAGAACACACAGAGCACTTTGGAAGTGTTTTATATAACTCATGGCCAAGGCTTCATTCTGAGACCTCCTGGAATATGGAGGATCCAATAACCTTTTAAATGAATGGCTGCACACAGATGGCAAAGGAACTCTTCATAGCCCGTGCATGCGTGTGTGCTAAGTTACTTCAGTCATGTCCTACTCTTTGCGACCCCATGGACTGCAGCCTGTCTGGCTCCTCTATCCATGGAATTCTACAGGCAAGCATCCTAGAATGGGTTTCCATGCTCTCCTCCAAGGGTTCTTCCCAACCCAGGGATCAAGCCTGCGTCTCCTGCATTGCAGGCGGATTCTTGACCCACTGAGCCTCCTGGGAAGCCCCTTCATAGCCTGAAGATCCTGAGTCTCTGCCATCCTTTTTAAAAGGTTGCTTTGCCCAGGATGTTATTATCCTATATATTTACATTTCAGGGAATAAATACAGGTTACATTTATGTAGAATGAGTATTGAAACTCTACATATTATGGGAATTCTCTGGCAGTCCAGTGGTTAGGACTTGGAGCTTTCACTACTGTGGCCCAGATTTAATCCCTAGTTGAGGAACTAAGATGCTAAAAAAACCCCACATCTATGGGAGCAAGTTCCTTGATGCACAGGAAGAAAAGTATTCTTTTAACAAAAGGGAGAAGTCAAAAGTGCTGATATTACTTTACTAGAATAAGAACTATGTAGGGTCAGCCCAGAGCCACAACTACTCTTTCTCGTGAAACTGACAGCTGTTCTGTTTCTTCTTTTGGACTCTTTGCTCAGCAGACCCCTGAAGGCTGATTCTTACGTAACCCCCTTTTCTTTCCAGTTAATAGAATTGTTCACTTCCTTGTTTTATTGAACTTAACAATGAAATCTTGGGTTCAGTTTGCTGAAAGAAAGTGAGAGAGGAATAGATGGATAGCAAGTGTTGTTCACAACAGGAAGAAATATATATCACCCATGTCCATATTCTAGCATAGAGTGGACAAATTTATAAGATATAGTGAAAGGTTGAGGAAATCATCTTATCTAAAAATAATATTTTCTCCTTTGTAGTATTTTCCTTAACACAGCATGTAGTTATCATATTTCATTTCCTGGTACATGCATATGTTTGAAAACATGAATGTCCATCAGCAATGAGGAAATCAGTGGAGTTGGCATTTCTGTTTAAAAACAATTGAATAGCCTAAAAACTGTCCATCATGGCAGCTACACAGGCAATATTAGGGTGAAAAGGCTCAACACAGTTTTAAAAACAAACAGTTCTCCTTTGATAATCTCTCCTGAGCATTAGTCATTAGCTCACACACATTTCCCAGGATTTATATGTACTTTATTCACCATAACCTCTGCAGTGGTTTAAATGCCAAGCCCTGACTTTTCTTGTTTAAAAAAAAATTTTTTAAAAAACATTGGATTTCTGTAGAAAAATAATATTCTCATCTTTAAAAGGTCAAAAAAAAAAAAAAGCTAATGCAGGGAACACCTAATTTAATCAACTGAACAGGACTTTCAAATTGTATAGTTACATTCTAATTTAATAGGAGATTTCTTAGTATACTGTACTAAGCAAGTTGCTACTTATAAAACTTGATTTTTTTTTTTTGCTTTTGTCCCTAAAGAGATCTTAACTGAAAATCCTAGTGTCTAATCTTTATACTCTGGTTTTGAGAATAGCCTCACTTTTTACCTTCTGTCAGCCCTTCTGAAAGTGGGCCACCAAATAAAAGGAAAAAAGGTTATTTTTAACATTTTACCAAATTAGTGAATTGATTAAAAATACTTTATGCTACCAGGACATCTCCGGTGTTCCAGTGTGGCTAAGCCTCCATGCTCCTAATGCAGGGAGCCCAAGTTCGATCCCTGGTCAGGGAACTAGATCCCATATATCACAACTAAGACCCAGGGCAGCCAAATAAATAAATAAAAATATTTTGGGGCTTCTGGTGACTCAGTGGTAAGGAATCTACCTGCCAATGCAGGAGACAAGGGTTCAATCCCTGATGTGGGAAGATCCCACATGCCTTGGAGCAGGTAAGCCGAGTGCCACAGTTTTTGAGCCTGTGCTCTAGAGCCCAGGAACTGCAACCGTTGAGTGCACGTGCCGCAGC